TGTTGGCAACACAAGCCTTTTCTACGTAAAAAAATTGAAAGCATCGACAATTTTACATTGTATTGCCAACATAATGTCATTTTGACTTATCTTTAAAAAAAAAACAGACTTTATATTCGTGTTGTCATTTATGGTGTTATCAGTTATCATTCTTTTATATTTAATAATAATAATAAATTAGTTATTATAAATATTATTATGTGAAAGTAATAATAAATAAGTTTATTTAAAGCCAATACGACTCTGTGACACGAAAGAAAAAATTTAAATTATTGTTAATCAGGCCCTGTCGTGTATCCCAAAATGGCCGCTAGTGATGTCAAGACCATAAATTCCTTTATTACACGGGCTGTCACTCGAGTTAGCCTGCTGATATGCTGTGGTTAGAGTTTGAAATGGAAATAGAAAGAAGAAAGTGTGCACAAGAACAAAAGGTAATAGAATTAGAAACTGCTATACAACAAGCAGAAGTCTTAGACAGTAAGACAAGGTCAGTAGAAAATTATAAAATTAGTCAAAGTTCAAAGTACACACATAAAATTGTATTTCCACCAGCACCTACAAACTCAAAAAATATTGGTTATGTAACCACATATGCAGAAAGTTCTGAAGGTGTCAAAAAAGGTAGATCAGAAGTAAACCAGTTATGTGATACTATTAACAAATTTTTATTGAAGATCGACAATATGCAAAGAAACGAATGCAGAAATGAACAGCCTGAATATAAGTATATTCTGGAAGAAGACACACAATGGAAAAGGACTTTCCATTCTTCGACGGACGACCACAGGATTGGCCTACTTTTATTTACTCGTTCAGGGGGATTTCAGCACTATGTGAGTACACCTCAGAGAAATCGGTGATTGAACTTCAAAAATGTTTAAGGGCGAAGGCAAGAAACGCAGTAGCAGGAATGCTAATAAGTCCTAAAAATTTAGAGCAAGTAATTAAGACATTAGAAATAAGATTTGGCAGACCAGTACAGATTATTGAGACTATGCTATATAGAATAAAAAGTTTTCCTCAAATGAGAGAAAATGAATTGGGCAGTCTTATTCTGTTTTCTACACACATCATTAATTTGGTCAGTACAATAAAATGGTCAGACTTTGAAGCATATTTGCAAAATATTTTAGTACTTAAAGAAGCTTACCAGACATAATGAAACTTCGCTATGGGGAGAAGAAATTTACGACAAAGGGCACACAAGAAATCTCTAACATTTTGCTGAGTGATTAGAGAAAATGGCAAATGTAGCTTGTTGTATTTTACCTACAAAAACCACACATGCAAGATTTCCAAGACAAGAACATTCACGGTCAAAACACGAAAAAGCCTTAACGATTTCAACCCGTGAATGCGCTTACTGCCTAAAAAAAGGTCACAGCATTGATAATTGTAATAAACTTTAATCCGATGATGTAGATACAAGATGGAAAGTAATTACTAATAGGAAGATCTGTTTCTCATGCTTGAAGAGTGGTCATCATATCACGAAGTGCAAATCCAGAAAATCCTGTGGAGTAGATAACTGCACACGACCTCACAATAAATTTCTACATAAGATTCAAGAAACAAGAGACATCCATAGCAGACTCAAGTGAACATCCACGGTTGAAGCGAAATCGCAATTTTTACTTAGATTTTTGATGAGGTCTGTAATATATTCTGTAATACTTTCTTCATCTCCTCGAATACGTTTAGAAAAACGATTTTGTTCAGCAATGACGTTGGACATTGGTTGTAAATGATCGGATAATAATTTAACTAGATCAGTATAGGGGTTTGCTGGATCATCTGGGCTACAAACTACAAAGATCGTACAGTATAAAGCATGCGTTAAGTGAACTATCCACTGCCATTGCCTGATGCCAGATGAGGCTTGTGAAGAAACGATGAAAAATCAAAATTTAAGATGAGAAAAATTGACTTATACATAGTCAAATCATTAGGGATGAATCACAAGGCTTTTCCACTTACAAATGAAGATCACTTCAAATAAAACTACTGAGAAATCAATCGACAAATATTGGGATTATTTTTGAATTTTGACCTCCAGACTAGTGAATGTTCCATTCTATAAACTACTATTATATTTTTGAATACGCAATTCAAGCAGATTTCCTTTCGATTTTTAAATTTGATACTTTGATACAAGTTGAATTGTTCTAATTTTTTTGAAATCCTATACATCCTGCGTAAAATATCACAAAGTCACGAGTATTTTGAACAAGCAAATCAAATTACATGATTTAATTAGGGAGCTAGCTTATTACATAGCAAATTTGTTGTTTGGTTGAACACCAATTTTTTTCAGGCTCAAAGTCCATATATGCTTATGTAATTTCAATTTCGTTGAACGCAAAATTGCAATTTTGCTGCGTTAATTAATGGACATAATTATTAAAAACGCGCTTTCGTTGAAATTTGACGCTAAAAACAATGGTAACGTCACTGACTGTGGTTTTTTTTTGCAAGTAATTTCAAGGATTTCGACTTTTCTGTCCGTTGCTGCGTGTTAATTCAATGTCTAAAAAATTAGGACAAATATATATTTTTTTTAATATCCAATATAATAAGTAGGTAGGTACATTATGAAAACTGAGCAAACCTTACCTTATATTAGTATTGATTAAAGTTATAATCGTCTTTATTAACCTCAGGAGTACCTAACACAATTACCTAGTTAAATACTTAATTCAAATGGGAACACGTCTCTTATCAAATTCAAAGTAAATTCCGTGGCTCAAAGTTCAATTCGTTTTTGGTTTGACATTGGAATCCCCTTTTCGTTTGCTCTTTCGTAATAGGCAAATTATATAAGCTGATGTTTTGTAATAATTAGATATTTAAATTTATCGAATAAGTACCTACAAGAATATATTATATTAATATTTTTTTTCTACTGACGTTTCATAATAGCAACTTTTCGATTGTCATTTCAGTTTTGAAACGACATTCTTTTAGGCACTGAGTGCGTGAAAGTTACTTTTAGGCACTCAGTGCGTAAAAGTGACTTTTGAATGCGTAAAAGTGACTTATGAGTGCGTAAAAGTAATTTTTAAGCACTAGTGCCTAAAAGTGTCAATCATTATTCAGAAATAAAAAACAACACTAAACACATATTTGAATTTTGTTTTGTATTTATTATGAATATTGAAAATGGAATTACTGAATTGAACGTTTGGGTTACTCAAAACAGAACTTTGTGTTATTACCTACTTTCTAGGATTTTAAATATTGATGCCGAATTTTGAAAAGAAAATCGCATGAAAAGTGTCAGGTGTCAAGTAAAAGCAGGTGACAAAGATTTTGGGTGTAATCGACTTATTCACATGAAATAAAATTGTGTTTTTTTTATTATAAAATGCCAGTAGAAAAAATCTTGTATACAATACGTTACGAAACGATGTCTTTTAGTCACTCGACGTGTTGTCCAACTCGGCTTTGCCTCGTTGGACAATTTTCACGTCGCGTGCCTAAAAGACGCTCATTTCGTAACTTATTGTATAAATAGCTATTTTCTACTACCGTGCGTAAAGTACTCACTTTACGCACTATTCAGAAGACGTAAAATTTCTCTTCACACACTAGTGCGTAAAGTAATTTACTTCACACACTAGTGCGTAAAGAAATGTCAATGACAAATGTCAACACTGTCAAATTACTATTTTACTGGTAAATTACTTCACGCACTATTGCGTAAAGTGAGAATACTAGAGCACTAGTGCGTGAAGAATTTGATTAAATTTATTTTTTCACACATATTTGATAGGTAGTAGAAAAATTTTTGTATGCAATACGTGCGTAAAGCACCTTTTTTCACTCATGTGATTGTCGCACTCGCCTTCGGCTCGTGCGTCAAAATTCACATTCGTGAAAAAAGGTTCACTTTACACACTTGTTGCATAAATAACTATTTTTTTTCATATACTAGATACCTACATATGGAAAAATTAGGGAAAGGTATTTCGACAACTTCCTTAAGAAGTGTTAATTATTGGTCCTATCTCGACGATTCTAGAATGTTTTCGACTACTCAGGTCGACAAATAGATTCTTTTACTTGAAAATAGAAACTAGAATTCGATTACTTTAGAACATTAAATCAATCCATCTATTGAACGACTATCTTGACAATCTATTAAATTATGAATCATTATTTAAAACAATATTTTATTAGGTATCTACTTCAGGTGCCTATACATTATGCCGCACTTCCATCAGTTTTAGTAGGTACAATTTAGTAAGTCATGATATGTATTTATCTTATCAATATAATCAAATAGTGTTTTCTATACAACGATTACAATCATTTATAGTAGTAAGTAGATACCTACTTAATTTATAGGAACATTAATAGACAAAAGTGTCAAATACATATATCCAAAAACCAAACACAATGAAGGAGATTATTGATCTAAAATTCTTGTCCGATAAATGAATTGATAATCTAATAATATATAAAATCGAGGATAAAATTATTGAATTTATGATAAAGGAAGTAGATGTCAAATGTATATCAGGAAACATTGTGAAGTAAATGATCATGACTGTTATGGCTATCAATCATGCTTAATTTCGTGAAAAATTTGCCACTTTCAGAATTTGTTTATTTTTAATAAATCATAACAGATTAATTAATTGCCAGATGACAAGCTGTTCTTATCAGAATCAAAAATAATACTCATGTTAATTGAAAGTTCATTCAGGTCGAGTATTTTTGACATTGGAATCCCCTTTTTGTAATATCTGGCACACAGACAACCTTCCAGTGTGACTTTTGCAGTAAAAACATACGATTTTATGCAGATAATACTAAACCAAACGGTTTTGCTCTCGGAATATGTATAGATTTATCTTTTTTGATCTCGTAATGTGGAAATAAATCTATTTTGACAAAAGTATACATTACTTTCCTCGAGAAAAGGTTAATGATTTTCAAATAAATGATTTATCAATTAAAAATCCCACATTTCTAATGCAATTAAAACCACTTACCAATAATAAGCCACCTTATCTCCATGTCCGTTTCTAACATTCCTATCCAACAAATTATAAGCAATATTAGTGGTGGCGCCGTCCAACCACTTAGTGAAAATAGGTCCTTTGGTCATATCGAAATTGTAACGGAAAAATCGATTGTTGTCAATCGGCGTTTCCCAGTGGAACTGTCTGGCAATTTCTCCCCAGAATTCTTCGGGATTTTCCAAGGATTTTTTGTACATTTGCTGATACTGAGTCGACGAGCTAACGAAGGCATTCTTTGACACTGATGGGTGGGGGACGAATATGTGAGCTTCCTCTGAAGGCATTTTGTGCTATGTTCTGAATCTGTAAGAAATAATTTTACATTAATTTTGTATGAAGTTTGTCATGGTATAAGAGATTGAACTGTCAATCGAATCCAATGAAGAACCAACCGTTGACCGATTTATTAGAAACTTCAGCTAGATGAATAATTGGTTCTTTTGGTTTGCAACAATCTGTACAATAAATTAATTCTATAACATTAACGTTAGCAGCTAGTTATGCATTGCATACAGAGCTAGAAATTAATATGTATGAACGAGTTATTGTAGCATTTTCCTAATTTTTTACACTGTAAAAAATTTGGTCTAAGTAACAGCTAAAGATCTGTTGAATAGAGTGGAAAGAAAATGTCAGCATTAATTCATTGCCAGGAAATAGGAAGTCGGTGAATCGATTGGAAAAAATTGGAACGTCTCCAATTCACCAATTCATATAGGGACTAGGGACTGGTTATTTGCAGACGCTGAAATCCGACGAATTTTCAAATTTTACCTGAAGTCGTAGGAGTAGGGAAACTTTGAATCCAGTAGAAGTAGCACAAATAGCACAATTACCAAGAGCTCAATAGAAATCAAAGGAAATGAACTAAATTACATGGCTCCTGATACAGGCACAGAAGTGAATGTTCCTGGCGAAGATTATTGAATCGGTTGAAAATCTCTGAAAACGATTTAGAAGCATCCACCTCAAATCAAAATAGGCAGGCAGATCAATTCAAACCTGAAAGTATTTACTAAAAATTTCATGTAAAGTCGTGGTGTCAAGGAATTTCTGTTAGATAGAGAGGCATTGATTAAACTCAGAAAAATACTTCCAATGTTTCCAAGTCCTTTAAATTCATACCACTTCACTTATGTCAATGCCTAAATGAAATTACAAAAAATCTGTTAGAGTTTGATTGCTACAGAATACGATTAGGTTTTAGGCAACTTTTTAATCGAATTTTACAATACGGCTAAAGGGAAATGAGACATTCTCACAGCATGTTTTATTTTGTAGGGATTGATTTAGCCGGTACTTGATCCATTATCTTCAAATTCTGAGAAGAAATTTTGTAATTTTGTAAAACTGTAACATATTTCAGCACACCATGCCTTTTTCAGACGGAATAACTTCAAATATGCTAATAGACATTCTCAAGGGTGGAATTTCTAATTGGAATAAAGTCAGTATTCGATAGCTTCTTTATTTGCTCAAAAAATTAGAATTGATTTTAAGTTTCACTTCTTTCGTCTCCTCATGAAATCAAACCCTGTTTTGGGGGTAGAAACAGCCTTCAATTTATACAGGGTGTCCTATAAGTCACGGTCCAAACTGAAAGGGGTGATAGAGGAGGTCATTGTCGACAATATACTATACAATTCATCACAGTTTTCAAGATATTTGAATTTTATTGATTTTAACAAACATTGGTTAAGAAAAAAACATTTGCAAAAAAACCAACGAACCCATGATTGATTTTTTTTCTTCTAATTATGAGCAGGAATGTATGAATGTGGGAATCTTGAACCGACGAATTGTTAATTCGAGCTGCAAAATAAAAGCTGTGGACGACCTTTCCGAAAAGCCAACCAAAATCATTCGCAGGGTACCTACTTCAAGAAAACCTACCGTCAACTATAACTACATTCGACGTTGCTTGCGTTCGGAGAAATCTATACAACGCTCGAAGAAAAATGCAGCCAAGTTTGCCAAAAAAGATTGAGGAAACTTTATAAAGCTTCTGCACGAGATCATTCAAACTCATAGAAATGAGCAGTTTTTACTGTTCATACAGTGAAAGAATGATTAGGTTTGCAAATTTAAAAATCAGTGTGCAAAATTGTGGAAAATTAGTAGAATAGGTATATTAAGTTTGGTAGAGCTCGGGGGGAAATATTCATTTTTTGATAGTCAATAACTTTCTCTTAAATGATGGGGTTCCAATTTTGTCAAAAATGTGTAGGGGATGGTATCCTGAACAACGTCTCACAAATTGGAGCTAATAAAATTTCCTTTTAAATGATGCATTTGTATTTACATCTTAGTTTTACCTTTTTCCAGATATGAGCCGCTGAATATGGAAAGTTGTCAAAAAAGTGGTAGCGGTTTAGGTATTTGGTAAATGTAAATATTCCTTTTGTATTTTTTTTCTTGATATTACAGAAAGAAAATAAGTTGTAGACCGAAAAATTTTCTCCAAAAGCGTGTAGATATAATTTTGCTACTTTACCCAAACCCAGTAAGTAGTAAGAGTGTTTTGAAGTTTAGGGGTAAGTTTTAACATTTCGCTAGTAAAATGCTCGTTACTTAAGTTTCGTGAGTTCTTAAAAGTTTAACCAATATGTCAGTATTTGTATTAAACTAGTAAATTTCGCAGCTCGACTTAAGATAAAGCAGTAATAAATTCTGGGGATACGGCTAATCCTTATTTTTTATTTTTTGATAATCTCTTTTTTTGTAAAAACTTTCGCAAATCTTTATTCGCTTCCTCAGTTACAAAAGTGAGTTTAAGTTAATACATCTTAAAGCAATAATTAATTATGTTCTTGTGGTCCAAAAATACTAACAGAATTTCAATTTTTGACTTCAAAAAAAAGTCAAAAATTTAAAATTCTGTCCAGCTCAATCTATACACGCGGCAACTGGAAAGCTAGGTAGGTAGGTATGCTCCAAATTAAGCAAGGAACAAGACTGGTAATGGAAAAAAGGACACAGGGATAAATCCCAAAAAAAACGTGTAAAATACGCCATCAGCAAAGATCTGAGAACATATACAGAACCAAAATCATCAAGTTTAATCAATTAGGTATTCTCAAAAAATCATCTAAAATTATATTTATGATATAAGTGCTAAAAGTGACATTTTATTTTGTGGAAAGGGAAGTTTGGCACACGACGCCAAAGGCGGGGTGTTCCATCCCTTTGAACAAAATAAAATCACTTTTAGCACGAATATCATACACTATTTTTTCTACAAACGCACTAAAAGTGATTACTTTTAGCACTAGTGCTAAAAGTAATCACTTTTAACACCAGTGTCATAAAATGGCATTTTAGACACTGACAGCATCCATTAAAAATGACACTTTTAGTGACGTTTGTAGAAAAATAACTATTATTTGTATTTTTATCATTTGTTATATTATTTCATTTTGTGTATGTATTTATATAAATGATTCGTACCTAATTTGCGTCTACCAACTCCTCAAGGGTGATGTTGTTGACTTTTTGGACATTTTATGAATCTTTGCTCACATGTTTTTCATTGAATGCAAAAGTGATGCAATTATAAAAACTTGTCTCAGTGTGTGTTCAAAATCTTGTAAATTTGTTTGGTTCTTTTAATATCAAGATGCTGGTTAATGAACCAACTCGAATTTACAAGTACTTCCTTAACTTCCCAGACTCTTATAGATTATATCTGTGTTAATTTTATTGATAACATTAACTTTAATGTGGCTGTAGTACTTTCTGGTCTTTCAACATCATGAAGCCATTTTGTTGAAAATTGTTAAATGTGCCCGAATTTAGGTCACCAGCTGCTACTTGCAAATGGAATTATATCCTGAATAGTTCTGATATGCTAAATACATTCTATTAAAAGCTAATAAAACTATTTGAAAAAAGGTTCCCTTCAAGAAAATTAAAGTACTTACTACTTATAAAAATAAAAAACCTTAGATTACAAGACGAATTAAAACGTCTCATAGAAACTTAAGATGTCTTTATGCATTAAGAAAGGTTGCTCCATTCAATAGGTACCTTTGTGAGCAGTTATTTTAACATTATACAGAACAATTTACAGACAAATTGTTGGAGATTCCAAACGAATGTATCAATGAAGGTACATAGGTTGAACAAAGCACCAAATAAACCTAGAGAAGTGTGGAAAGAGGATTCATGAACTCAAGGAAACTTCCTCTTCGCCTTCAAATCATGTGGATATTGAGCCTAATATATTAACTGATTTTACTGTAATGTGGCACCATTTTTTGAAACATTCTGTTTTGGAAACTTTTCGGCTTCAATACCCATGCAACATAATTAAAAACAACATTCCAGGAAATAAAAAATAAGTTCCGCTGGCATGTCTTTTCAAAATATATGCCATAAATTGTTTATGTCTTTGGCTAGTAATCATTCGTTCGACACTGGAATGTTTCCAACTTCTTTAAAGACCAAGCATTATCAGACCTTTCTTCAAGAGTGCTGATGCCGAAGATCCATTATGCTTGCTATCGCTTCATATTTCTTCTCCCGTCTCTATGCAACATGTTCATGTTAGAGAAATAGTTAAGTCCAAAATGATCGCATTTTTAAAGAAGCATAAAATACTTAACACGTTAAGCGCCACAGCAAAATCGCTAAACTTGTCGAAGTGGCCATTGTTTTCAATCTTGTTATTTTATTTTACTTTATTCCGCCTATAGTAGAGTGCCACAGCGCGTAAAAGTGGCTTAGTTTTTGTTCCCGTAGGCACTTTTTGGCTAACAGGGTTTGACCTTGGAAATGAATTAGGGACATTTTGTAGATTACTAACTGACTAGTCGTCCCAAATTCGTCCAAGCCTAGCCTTAAGGTCGCAAATCAAAGTTTTTTAACTAAGAGCATCCCACAATTCAGCAAAAATTTCCGTACATTTTGGCAAAAACTTATTGAATTTCCCGTACATATTAAATTTTTAAATAAATATTGAAAATGTAAATTAACATTGGCGCTTATGGGCCAACCGAAGACAGACGGCCGAAAGTCAGTTATGCATCATCTTGAAAATTATTTCATATCTCAGTTATACGTAACTCTAAAAATTTGAAGTTAGTTTTAAGATTTGTAAAATCATAGCGCTTATTTTATCAGGAGTAAGTTTTTTTAATATCTGGAATAGTTTTCGAGATATCGCAGGTTTAACACAAAATGCCAGTAAAAATTATCACTTTTTTAGCGTTATGAAACGGAGAATAGAGATAATTCGACTTTTGTCTTCGGTTGGCCCATAAGCGCCAATGTTAATTTAAATTTTCAATAATTAATTAAAAATA